TTTTTATAGAATTCTGCATTGAGACCATCTGTCCCTGGAGATTTATTTAATTTTAATTTATTGATAGACTTTTGAATATCTTCAAGAGTGATCAGAGAATCACAATGGTCTTTATTAATTTTACTGATTTGATGCATATCATTCATCGAGTTAATAAATAGTGTAATAGTTTCATCAGAACACCGTGACTGATACAACTCTTTGAAAAAAGTTTCACAATAAGAAGAGATTTGAACAGGATCTTCAGTTATACTGTTATTAATTTGAAGTTTCATAATACTATTAGACTTTTGGTGCTGTTTTTCTAACCTAAAAAAATAAGAAGAGTTTTTTTCTCCTTCTTCTAACCATTTCTGGCTCCTTTAGCTTTAGATATGTAAATATTGTCCAGGTTCAACTGGAAATGGTTTAATCTAATTTTTTGTTCTTCAGATATATTTTCTAGTAGAACATTATTTAAAGAGATAATTTCTTTTATTATTTCTGATTCTATTTTCCTCTTTTTTTTTTTAGCAAATTCAGCTCCAGTTTTCATAAAAATTTTCTGAAGTTCATATTTGAGGAGTTCCCAGTTTTTACTAAATTCCTTCTGGCTACAAGCTGTATTCCAATACTTAATAATTGTTTAATATTTTCTTCTACTGTTTTATCTTCTAACAGTGACGAATTGAGTTTCCAGTAAGCTGTAATTTTATTTTTTCCGTACTTATTTAATTTTGTTTTTTCAATCAAAATTAGCTTGTGATCTGATAAAGGAGCTGGTAGAATATCCGACTTAATTTAATCTGTTATTAAATCACATATCAACCAAAAGTCAATTCTTGATTGAAAGGAGCCCGACTTGTTTTGCCATATAAATTCAATTTTTGAGCTATTTTTTTGTCTCCATACATCAATCAGGCCAAAGGTTGATATAAAGTCTTTAAGAGCTGTGTTTGTATTTATATCAGCCTTTGGAGGAAATCTGTCTAATGAATCATCAAGAGTTGAATTGAAGTCCCCACCAATAATAATATTCATATTATGATACTTGTCACATAGATAATTCACCCCGTTACTTAATCTATCATAAAGTTGCGTATTTTCTGCTTTGGTATTATACCCATAGATAGAACCTAACAAAAAAATATTCATTTATTGATACAGCTAATGAAACAAAATGTCCATATGTATCTAAGAGTGAGCATAAAACATCTCCATTGAAGTTGTTTCGTAATATTGCCACTCCTGCTGATTGAGTAGTGCCATATGCCAGCCATAACTCGTCCCCCATTGACTTTTCCAGAATTTGGTATCATTTGCAGTGGAATGAGTTTCTTGAATAAAACAGAAATCAGCTTTAAAATTTTTAAGATATAGGAAAGTTGCCTTTCTTTTAGTATTGTTTCTTAACCCTCGAGCATTAAGTGAAATAATTTTAACATAAAAGTGCTACTAAGAGTTGTAGCTACTAACCCTGAAAATTAAGTTGCAGGAAATCTTACAAATTCTCCCGTCCAAAAAATTAAATAATGAATGGAGCCTTTATAATATTTTAGTGTCATTACTTAACTGTTAGCTCTTTGTTTCAAAATGTCTTCTAGACATTACCAGGAACAAGTTCTTTTCTTTTTCCATCCCTGTCAATGACAAAGGCTTTGGGCCAATGTAGAGGCTGTTTTCCCTTCTTCGTATGCTTTTTTCACCAGTGGCCACAGCATGTTTCTTCCTGACGGTCCTCTGGAGAGAGGTCCTCCTTAAAGCGCAGGTTGCTTGACTTCAGGAAAGATGACTGCTTAGCCGCCTTCCATACCGTGTCCCTTAGTGTCTCATGGAGAACTGGATCATCACTTCTGAGGACGCCCTGTGCTTTTGTTGCGACCCAGCCGATGTACGCTGTCGATGACGTCTGGCAGTTTTTCTGTGCATTCTGGCAAATGGAAATAACCTTTCTGCGAACATCTTCCCTTTCTTCTTCAGTTAATCCTGAAAGACGCAAGGTCCATCTTCTTTTATAACGTGAAACCTCGAGCAGCTTGTTTTCCACCTGCAGCACCCTTTTTCTGAGTTCTCCACTCTCCTGACGGTTTCTGTCATCTTTTCTTTCATTTCGGCATGAATATAATCCACCGAATCTTTTAGCTCATTTATGCTGGCTTGAAGACCGTCCGCTCTCTCATTTATCGTCGACTTTAAAGCTGCTATAATGTTTTCAGCGAGGTCCTGATCTTCCGCCGACTTGTGACTTTTAGCCGACATTTTAGTTGGTGTACTTTCTGTGCTCACGGATTTACGTTTACCACTAGCAGCCATTCTTTGAAGTCTTCGGAGTGTCTATTTGAACACAATATCTAGCAAAGGTCTCAAAATAAGTGTTTCCCTGTATTAAAGTAGCTATAAAGGCTCCTTATTAAAATATTCTTGGAAGAGCTTGTAAAGATCGACTACTCACGCCGCCATCTTGCCGGCTCCCATCTAGCTGCCTTATCTCACCGCGCGAGAGGCAAGTGCGTCGTGCGTCACGGGCAAAAGGTCAAAGGTAACAATGTGACCGGAGGGCTTATTGTGTTGTTTTTCTTGCAAAGTAATAATAATAATAATAATAATAATAATAATTAATAAATAATAATAAATAATAAAAGTAATAATTGTAGTAGGCTACATGTGTAAGAAAAAAAAAAAGACCAAAAGGGCACTTGAGGTCATGGAGCAAAAGGGGCAGGTGCTCCTGCACGCGCCTGGCTGGTTGCATTAAATAACAAAACAAAATCCTAAAGAAATAAAATACAAACTACTACTAACAATAGTATCACACATATATATGTGGGTTACATTTAGCTGAAGGGGAACCAGAAATGTTGGAAGTTAAACTCTGGAGCCAAAACACTGAGTTTATTTAAATGTAGATTAAAACCAAACATGGTCCAGACCTGCAAGGCTGTTTGATTTGGACCTGGAAAGTTGAATCAGAACCATTTGGAGCCAGAAAGTTGAAGGATCAGTCCTGGCATAAATTTTTCTCCAGAACATCTTGAGTCCAAATGCCTTTTCTTTAGTAGCAGCTGAAGCTAACATGAGGATTTACTGCATTTTCTCACAAAGTTTCTGTTTTTCTGATAAGAAACTTTGAGCAAAACATAAAATATGTAAAGTAGCTTCACTAAATAAAGCAGCATAATGACAAGAATAGATGATAATAAAATCAATAAACCTGGAAATAAAATAAAAAAGGTAAAAATGTATGAGGACATTTATCTGTTTCATGGAATATTGATTGATTTATTGATATTTATTGATCTTGAATGAAAAGTTTCCTGTGTAGAACATCAACACTAATTTAATATCTGATAGATCCAGAACCAGGTGATCCAGAACCAGGTGATCCAGAACCGGTTTTGGTTCCATCAGCTCCTCATCCTGACCTTCTATCAGGATCAACCAATCAGAATCAGATGAACTGATCCAGATCATGTTACCAGGGCAACCAGCTCCACCAATCAGATCTCTTCTAGTCAAACTGAGTCAACCAGGTTTCCTGTTAATGAAACTCAGATTTAATGGAAAATCATCTGATTATGAAAATATTCTGTTATTATAATTCTGTTATTATAATTCCTCCATCTTCATTTGTCTCCACAGAACCATTTCCAGTCTGGGCCAAAGTTCTACTGGTTCTACTGGTTCTACTGGGTCTAGTTGCTGCTGCACTTTATTTCTTGTTCCATTGGAGTCCAGGTGAGTCTCTAGAACTACATTACCCATAATGCCTTTGGTCAGTGTCTGTTCTCCTCCAGAGCAGGACTGAAGAAAGTCAAACAGGAAGGGGGAGGGACTACTGTCAGTCTCAGACCTTATATGGAAATGGGACCATTGCACTCTGGAAGTGAAGGGGGCGCTGTTTCCTATATTATCCTCCCATTTTTATGTATTGTATTTGATCTCTCTTTTATTTACTTTAGTTCATAGTTTTAACAGATTCTGTAGCTTTCTGTGTTCAGGTAAATCACCTGAGTGAAGTTGGCCCCCCCACCTTCTTCAAATCAGACAAAATTGGTGTCAATCAACTCGGCTGCGTTTGTGCTGGTTTGTGCAGCAAAAATTTTCGTTTGTGCTGGTATCATTCTGAAGATATTCAGAAAAATGTTCTCCAGGGGTCATCAGAGGTCAACCACTCCCCTGGCCCTACTTTAACCCTATTTGGAAACATAAATAAATTTGGTGTCAATCAACTGTGCTATGTTTGTGCAGGACATTTTTAAAATATATACTGGTATTACAAATTATAGCACTATAAACTATTATTAGTAATATAAATAATAAGGTAATCAAAGGTCAACCAGCTCCCCTACCTTGTCAAGGTAGTCAAACTATCAAGGTCTGTGCTGTGCTTTCTGTGACAGTGTTTCTGTTCAGAATGTGCTAAAAAGTACAGAAAAAAATAAAGCTTCCCATTTTACCTAATTTGAAGAAGTTAGGGGAGCTACATCCTTAAGAAAAAGAAAAAATATGGAGTTTTATATTTATTTTTTACAGAACATGGAATATCAGCACCAGCAGGTTTCTGGTGCATTGTGGGTCAGCGGCTCCTGGTGCATTGTGGGTCAGGTCTCAGCAGTTTCCTGCCTGACTGGGGAGAGGAGTTTGGTGTGTTGCTGCAGGCAGCAGCTGGTTCCTCTTAGACATGGACTCATGTCTCTGTCCTCAGAGTCCTGCAGGAGACACAGAGTCATGTGACCATCAGAGCTGCTGCTGTCTGTCCAGATCATCTGGTCCTCTGTTGTCTCTCAGTCCAACAGGTGGAGGTGGAACCAGGGAGAAGTCTATCAAGCTGCCCTTGAAAGTCCCACGCTGCCTCTGGTTCTGTAAATACAGACAAGCTGTGGATAAAGTGGAGTGGAAGGATGAAGACGACAGGACGGTCCATGTGTATCAGAACGGTTCTGATCAGCCTGGAGAACAGAACCAGATCTACAAAGACAGAACCGAGATGGATGAAACCCACTGAAGACTGGAGACCTCAGTCTGACTCTGTTGCGTCCCAGAGAGAGAGACAGTAAGACGTTCACCTGCAGAGTTTATAACAGGAATGGAGACGAACTGATGAAGAAAGACATCTGGCTAAAGTTCAAAGGTCAGTGGTTTAAATCTACTTTTAGAGGAACTGTTTGCATCAGAACCAGGTCCATCTATTCTCTCTGTTTGAACTGGGTCGGTTCTGGTTCTGGTCGGTTCTAATTGACATTTAGCTGGTTCTGGTTCTGAACCATTTAACCCCTGACCTCCATCAGAACCCTGGATCCCTTCAGAACCCAGTAGAACCAGTCCTCAGAGGTCCAGAACCTGCAGGTCCAGGTGAAGGTTCTGGATCTCTGCTCGGCTCCAGAACCAGCTGGGTCCAGTAGCTCCATCAACCTGACCAGAACTCAGAGTAGGCCTGTCACGATAACAGATTTTCTGGGCAATTAATTGTCTCAAAAATTATTGCGATAAGCGATAATATTGTTTGAAGACCTTTTTACATTGATTTAATGTAAATTACATAATAATACATGTGATTTCCTGCCAAAGACAGAAACACTTTACTTTCAAAAGACACTTAACACTGGGACTGATACACAAAATAAATAACACAACCAAAAATAAAATAGATTCTTAGTCTCAATTTACAATAAATGAATAAAAACTAAACAACATGAAGCCAAAATGGAAATAAATACTGCATTCAACCAAAAGAGTGCAGATTATGAAGTCTGTATAGTTTATTGCCCTTCAGTGATAATTAGATTTAAATAGAGAAGAATCCGACTGAATGATGCAATAGTTCAAACTACAGGATTTTTTACCCCGAACGACAATCTTAGAGATCCATTGTTGGACACAACACGGTTCGATCGAACCGTTTTAGCTAGGATTCTGTCGGCTAATGTGTCTCTCAGGTTTTGGTAATGGGCCGACATTAGATGGTGCAGCGCGCGCTGGGCATTAGACTAAGAAATAAGGAAGGGAGGGTCAGTGGAGAGCACTGGAGCTGAGCCTTTTTTCATTCAGTGTCATCAACAGTAAGAGATGACACGATATAGCCGATAATTAAAATGACATCGATAGTTTTAACTTATCGTTCGATTAATTGGGTTATCGTTTATCGCGACAGGCCTAACTCAGAGCTTCTTGTCCTTGTGGACTGAAGGACGTCCTGATGTGGGACAGAACCAGAACCCAGACAGAACCGGCCCCAGTCCAACTGGACCTTCTGTCTCCAACAGAGGACAGGAAGTTCTGAAGTTCTGCTTCCTGTCCTCTGCTGGTCTCCAGGGCGACGTGTCCTCGTCTCTCTGCCAGTCTGAGTCCAACTGGAGACAGACGGGACCAGAGTCCAGCTGCTGCTGGGGACAGTCTGCAGCTTCCTGCTGTCCTCATGAGGACATTCTGTCCACCTGCTGCTGGTTGGACTCAGCAGAGACACCAGTGGAGACTGGAACCAGACTGGAACCAGTCCAGCATGTTGGACTGGTTCCAGTCTGAGGAAATGTCCTCAGAGCTGCTGCTGTCTGTCCAGATCATCTTGTCCTCTGTTGTCTCTCAGTCCCAAAGGTGGTGGTGGAATCAGGGGTGGAGTCTGTCCTGCTGCCCTGGAGAATCACAGGGAGTCTGGATGGAGACGTTAAGGTGGAGTGGACGGACGGAGACAACAGGACGGTCCATGTGTATCAGAACGGTTCTGATCATCCTGGAGAACAGAACCAGATCTACAGAACCAGAACCAAGATGGATGAAAACCTGCTGAAGAATAAAAACCTCAGTCTGACTCTGACATGTCCCAGAGATGAAGACAGAGGGATCTACACCTGCAGAGTTTATAACAGAGACGGAGACATGCTGATGATGAAACAAGTTCTGCTCTGGGTCAAAGGTCAGTGTCTTAAAGGTTCTGATTGGTTCTGATCAATACTGATGGTTGTCCAATTAGAAGGTCAAAGGTCAGTGTAATGAGTGATGAAGCTGAGGAAGCAGCAGGAGGAAGAGGTCCAGGACAGACGGGACCAGAGTCCAGCTGCTGCTGGGGACAGTCTGCAGCTTCCTGCTGTCCTCATGAGGACATTCTGTCCACCTGCTGCTGGTTGGACTCAGCAGAGACACCAGTGGAGACTGGAACCAGACTGGAACCAGTCCAGCATGTTGGACTGGTTCCAGTCTGAGGAAATGTCCTCAGAGCTGCTGCTGTCTGTCCAGCTCATCTTGTCCTCTGTTGTCTCTCAGTCCCAGAACAGGTGGTGGTGGAATCAGGGGTGGAGTCTGTCCTGCTGCCCTGGACAATCACAGAGAGGCTGGATGGAGACGTTAAGGTGGAGTGGAAGGACGGATACAACAGGACGGTCCATGTGTATCAGAACGGTTCTGATCAGCCTGGAGAACAGAACCAGATCTACAGAACCAGAACCAAGATGGATAAAAACCTGCTGAAGAATAAAAACCTCAGTCTGACTCTGAAATGTCCCACATTTAGAGACACAGGAAGATACACCTGCAGAGTTTATAACAGAAACAGAGACGAACTGATGAGGAAACAAGTTAGTTTGAAGGTCGAAGGTCAGTAGTTTAAATATATTTTTCCAATAAGCCGATTGGTTCTGATCAATAGTGATGGTTTACTAATAAGAAGGTCAAAGGTCAATGTGATGAAGATGAGGAAGCAGAGCAGGAGGAAGAGGTCCAGGTTGTTTCTCCCAGCAGAACCTTCTGGTTCTGGTTCTGGTTCTGTTAGTAGGAGGAGATGAATCAGAGGAAATAAACAGGTAAAAGAGGAGAGAGAGCAGCTGGAAGAACAACCAGGAAGGTGGAGAGAGAAACATCAGAGCTGCAGTCGGGTTCTGGAGGTTCTGCCTCCATCTTTCTCCACCCAGACAGAATCAATCCTCCTCTGATTCTGATCAATAAGTAGCATTGATCAATACTCTATAGTTGGGCTTTGTCCTGTAATGGACGGGTTGCCAGTTCTAATCCGGCTCAGTCTGTCTCAGCTGTTGTCCTTGGACTAGACCGTTCTTCTCTGTCAGACTGATGCTAATGTCTGGTAGCCACCAGAGCAGCTGTAGCTACTGCAGCAGCTCAGCACCTGATTGGCTGAATGAGTGAATGCAGAGAGAAGCTTTGGAGTCGTCTGACTTGATCAGTTCAGATCCATTGATTTATTGATCAACATCTGGTTGATGCTGCTGGATTGTGTCTGACTGTCCTCTGTCTCCTCATCAGGGAGATTCCAGGTCCAACCAGAGACACCAGGACCAGAGGACACCAGGACCAGGAGCAACTCTATTGATCTGCCTCTAATGGGTGATCAATCAGTCTGATCAGGTTGATCATCTCTGATTATTGATCCAGTCAGACTTTGGATCAGAGCCGATCTCAGTGAAGGTTCTGATGAACCAATAGAGGACACTTCCTGGTCTTCTGGTCCAGTCTGCAGCCGGTTATTGATCACTATTGATTATTGATGACAGAATGAAGGAACTGAATCATTTCTGCTGCCTGAGGAACCAGTTCATGATCCATCAGGAGGAGAACTGTTCAGTTTGACCCAGAACCTCCTGATCATCATCATCATCATCATTATCTTCATCATCATCATCATCATGTGGATCTTTAGTTTCAAGCTGCACTGATTGTAATTTTCTGGCCGATTATAAATCTTTAAATCTGACCTGCTGGTTCTAATTTTGGCCTCGTTTTCGTCTGAAATGTTGCTACATAGAGGAAGAAAGTTGCTGAGTCGGCAACAGACAGTTAACTGCAGACATTGACCTCTGACCCGGTGGGCCGGTCTGTCAGTCAGACGTCTCTCTGATGAGGTCAGAGGTCGATTTCTAGACCTTCACAGAGGAAGATAATTTCAGCTTCGTGTCTAAATATCGGCTGATCGGCTGAAAGGAAACCAGATGAAATGATTTATTGTTTCGCCTCGTTTTACCAAAGAAAACCTGGAAATATTTTGTGTTATGGAAAGTCCAGTTATTGCATTTATTAATCTTTATTACATTATAATGCAGACAGATTATTCTAGTCCTGGATTATAATCTGACTGAAATCATCCTGCAGTGTCCATTTGGTTTCTGTATGAATCCTGCCTTATTAATGTTTTCATTGTTAATAATAGAAGCTTCTTTATTTCACTTTTTATTTTAAACATAATCTGATTATAAAACTGAAGACCTACTAACACCATAAAGTATTATTTTATATAAAATCCAGAATTTGAACAGATTTCTGTTCAGTAAATGTTTTAATTTCTGACTGAAATATTTTATTCTCATTTTATTCATTTGTTACATTTTTGCTTTAATGTTACTGTGAAAACCTCTGATCTCATTTATTACCAAAAGATCATGAAATAATTTGATCACTGATATAATTAATCAATATATTTAGTCAGCTGAAGCTCTAGAATGAGTTTTTCTATAATGTTACTATTTACAGTGTTTATATTCTATGCTTGTATATCTACTATAATAATCTTTCATGCTTGTATTTTTGATTTCTCGTGAATCTTTAGATTAATATTAAATCTTAAGATATTAAATCTTCTCGTCCCTTTAAGGCTCAGTGAATCTTCCTGGTTTCTCAGTTTTTCTTTGCTGGTTTTATTTTCAGTCGGGATGAAAAAATGTTTTTATTTTAAATCTTTATGGATGTTTCCTGAATCTGCAGAATCAAATTGATAATCATTTGAATTATTGATCCATTCTAATTTTCGCTCAGCTGATCCCTAATAACAGATGAACTGATTGGTACTGAAGGTTAATCAATACTTATTTAATCATAAATATCTATTCACTGGCTGAATCCATGGCATCAGGGGAGCTCAAACTTTTTAAACCAACATCTACTTTTTTTCTCACCAGCCGGCTGAAGAACATCTCCAGGATTAGAGGACTAATGTCTCAGCCAGATCTAGAGAAACTCATTCATGTGTTTATCTTTAGTCGCATTGATTATTGTAACAGCGTCTTCACAGGCCTGTCCAACAAATCAATCAAACAGCTGCAGCTGTTTGATTGATTTACCTCATGGCATGAAGACATAGAAATTATAAATTAAACCCTATTGACTAATTTCTATACAAATATACATCAGTTATATCAGAAATGATAAAGTGATAAAACCTAATGCAGTTTCTTCCTCAGTGAGATTCTGACACTGGGAGCAGGTTACTGGTTTCTCAGTCAGAAGCTGGTTGCAAACCTGAGGCCAGCAGGTGTCAGTTGGTTATGGTGGATCTGAAACTTGGTTTGATGACGTCACTATGCGAAACTACAGGCTGATAGGAGGAACCAAAGAGCTCTGCAGAGGTAAAGGCAAATCTTCTGAATTTGGGATATAATTAATGTAATTTGACATAATTATTGTGGTAGAAGCCCTTTGTTTGTTAAAATTTAATCAAATATATTTGTCCTATTTGACGTTTGTTGTGACGTTCACTGCAAACGAACGAGGTCATCAGTCCAAGTTTGTTGTTTATTGAATGTTCAGAAACTCCAGCGGCTGTGATGAACCACAGCGACGGAAACAAAGGTAAAATAACCCGAACAGGTGATCAACTCAGAACCTCTCGCACCTTTTTACTCTTTTTCTCTTTATTGTTAAGCACACCCGTTGCTGTGGCAACCGCCTGCGCCCCGCAAGCCGAGCAAAGATTACGTTAAAAACGTTCAGTCCGTTACGATATCAGGTTTCCAGGCTTTATTATTATTTAATGAAGCTACAAACGTTTTGGATCTTAGTGAATATTTTGAAAAGCCTGTCAGAAGAGGAAGTGCTGCTCTCAGCGTCCTGCAGAGATCCACTCAAAACCTGATGCAGATCGACCGGTTGATCGCGATCAACGTTTTGGGCACCCCTGATCTACAGAGTTTATATTAATATATATAAAACATCTGATTTTCAGACCAAATCAGATTCCAGGTTTTATAGATTTTTTTTTTTTTTTAATGAAATATTTTCCAAATCTTTGTTTTCTGTATTTATTTATTTCATCATTTCATTGATTAAATCTGAATCCAACTAAATCCAAACTAAAATCTTCTGGTTGGTTCTGAGATCCGACAGAAAAACCAAAAACATCCAGATTTTTCCCAAATTAAATCCTCAAACAGAAACTTTATAAGTTTTTCATTCTTTCTGTTTGAAAATGTTTTAGTTTTTAATCTCATTTTATTTGTTTCTGCAGGTTTTGCTCAACATTTCAGCTAAAATGCCAGGATGTGCTTCATAACAATAAAACATAATAAATTGTTGTAAAAACTTTCTTCTGTTGTGTTTGAATTCATTTTATTGACTTTTTCTTGCAGCGACTTTTTTAAATCTGGTTTTTAAATCATTTTATTTTTCATCACACTTTAAACTGCAGAGTAAAATATCTCCAACACTTTATTATTTTATTGATTTCAGGCTGATTCTGTTTCCACTCAAACTTCAGAATAAAAGCTTCTGTGAGTCTAATGTTTCTGTTCTTGGTCATAATTTATCATTTTACTGAGATTTTCACAGTAAAATCCTTTAAATTTTCCTTCATTCATGTTAAAGTCATGAACTGAACCAGTTTGATGTTTTGTTTCCCATCAATAATCAAATTCAGTAAAAAATTAAATACATGTTGATGTTTGAACTTTGACCTGCCATCGTTCCCAAGAACACAAACATTTTTATTATTAACTTATTGTTCTTATTAAATTAATATGGTTTGAATATTTACTTAGGATGTTGAATGCTTATAAAAATAATCATAAGATTATTTTTATATATATAATATTAGCCAAAATAATATAAATGACTGTTTAAATAAATCACCAATAGATTAATAGTAAATATAAACAGTAAATAAATACATGTTGTGAAGAGAAAATGTTTATTTGTCCTACATTAAAATGTTTATCTTTATTCAGTGTTTGGTGGAAAATATTATTTCACTGTTATTTTATTAATGTGGATAATCTGCCTTCCTATCAGGCTATAAGCATGAAGGCTACATGCTAACCAATGCTACATGCTAACCAATGCTACATGCTAACCAGGGCTACATGCTAACATGCATCAGAACCTGCAGCCCAGAGGTGGTTCTGACCCAACAGGCTCTTTGGTTCATTTAAATAATGAAATATTGTCCTGGTTTTTATTTCATTATTTTTTAATTGGCCTCCAGGTGATTCTGGACCAGAACCAGAACTGAACCCGACTCCTTATTGCATCAATATTTTGGTATTAATCTGTAAAATATCAGCATTTTATAGAACTTTCTTTTGTCTGTTTGATTTAAAATATTAAATCATGTTATGATCAGTTACTCACTTCTTGAGTTCTTAACTTTTCACCAAACATTTTTCACTCTTGCGTATTTAAATCACATGTTTCCAGGTGAAAGCAGGTCAGTTTAACTTCCTGATGTTCCTCACAGCAGAGCAGCAGGTTGGTTCTGGTTGGACCTTCACATTCAGTTCAGGTTCTGCTGGTTCTGCTGGTTCTGACCGGATCCTGGTAGAAACGGAGCCGTTATCTGCAGAACGGCTCAGAGCTGCATATCACGGCTTGCTTGAGTTTTTACCAAGTTAACATTATTTTACCTTATAAAATGTGATTATTTGAATCTAGCAGCAGTTTTCAGATCATAATGTAAAACTGAACCACATCAGATGTGAGACCTGAAACCGTTTAGATTAGTTTAAAATGGATCAGAACAGGAATAAACAGAATCAGGTTATGTATCAGGTTATGTAAATAGTTACAAAATGTTTGTTTTCAGGTGTAAAATGAGAAAAGAGTTTTAATCCATCATTAAATCTTTATTCCATGTGAATCTGATCTAAAACCTGTTAACAGAAACAAGCAGAGAACAGAAACTGATCCGAAGCATCGAGGTTCACATCTCTTCACAAACCCACTTTATGCTAAACGGCCTGCCATACCGGAGCCGCCCTGCCGAGCTGAGAGGAGAGAAAACAACCATGACGTCACCGTGAAACATGGACATGTCTCTGGTTCCCATAGAAACACAGAGAACAACATCCGCATCAAGCAACAAACTGGAATCTGATCCAACATGAACCTCCTTTAACATCCAGCAGAGATCTTCAGACTTTAACTAGGACATAAAGACGGACAACGCCCAGATCTCCGAGGAGCTCACTGCGCATGTCCGGGTTCTGCGCTTCTTGGAAATCACGTGACTTCAGTAGAAATGAAACTGAGTTTATTTATAAAGTTTTCTTCATCTGATCTGTTGAAACTCATCAGGTTGAATCTGGAAGCAGAAAAAACAACCAACTGGAATCTGTTCATGCTGACGTCACTGGGACCAGTT